CTCCGCGCGCCGACCTTCCCAAAATCCGCCTGCGAAGCTAGCGCCTTCCAGCTCGTCATGTTCATGCCCCCGCTCTGGAACGCCACGTGGAGCTTGCGCAAGCTGCTTAAACGGGCGAAGTACCGTAAGCTGCACGTCCCCGACGTGCAACCACGGCACAGACTTCCCCATGACACTCATGACGCCAAGCGCGGTAGCCCCAGCGACCTGGCAATCGGACATTGCCAACGCGAGAGGATTACGCAACCACGAGCCCTGTTCCGGACACGCTGGTCCCACGATGCTATTCACCGCCTTGTCAAACTGCTCAGCTGACTCCGAAAAGACCCGCTGGCGGAAGTAGTGGCGCATCGCGTTCCTGAGCTCCCATGCGTAGTTCTCTGGGCGACGCCCATGGTCGGCAACGCCCGAAACACCGTCAAATACGCCGAGGAAACGCTGGCCCGCCATGGTCATGTCGGCAGTCGGGACACCATTTTTGACTGGGTGCTGGTTCTTATAGGATCTGACGGCCAGGCGAAGCATCTTTGGAACAGAAAAGCGCCAATACACAGTGTATATATATATATATATATATATGATCAGCTTGATTTTGGAGAGGCGCTGAACCACAACAGCTACGGATATGGATGATGAACGAAAGGCTGAGCGGTGGAGAGACATGCGGCCACATGTATACTCGGCTCTCACAGCCCACCCACGCCATGTGTATCCAGTTTCCTAGTACACATCGGTTTCGCCAGCAATTGTCCTCCTGGCGGGCGCGTTGCAGCGCCAGTGCGTTGCTGCAGAGTATGAGGAAGGAGGGCGAGAGTGAATGGGACGGAGGGGGAAGGGCAAGGTATGAGGGTGAGAAGGGGTGGAGGTTGAGCGGGATTGGGCGGGTGAGAGCCGGGGAGGGGGGAGTGGAGTTTGTGAACAGGGCGTTGCACCCGATTGACCGCGGGCTTTGCACCCGCAGCACGCCAGGCATTGCACCTGAAATGGATGAGCGTTGCGCCCGAAGTGGGCCTTACACCCGCAGCGCAAAAGGCTTTGCACCTGAAATGGATGGGCGTTGCACCCGTTTCGGGTGTTGATGCCGTTCCTTCCTCTTCCTCCTTCCTCCTCTTGTTTGGGGCTCTCTGGGGGCATTGCACCCGTCTTGGCCTTTGCACCCAAAGGAAACATGGCATTGCGCTTAGAAGTAGTTTCCCCATCCTTTTCCTCCTCCCCCTCCTCCCTATCCTTCTCCTCCTCCGCCTCCCCCAAAAACTGCCACCCTTTGAAAACCCGAAGCATTGTGAAGATCAGGAAGTACTAACCCCTAGTATTCTCCAAGATTACTAAGGCGCCTTGTGGGGGGTCGTGAATTGAACGCGCAAGTGATACTTCTCCCCCATCACCTGTTCCTCGCCCTTCCTCAGTTGGGAAGAGCGGCGATGGGGCCCTCGGGGGGCCGCGGGGAAGCCAGGAAACTAAGAGAATCAAGACAACACATGGAAACCAAGAAAACGTTCGAGCCAACCAAGAAAGCCAGGAACAAAAAACACTGGTTTTCTTTGTTGTGTTGGTCCGAGCGGCTGTTTCCTTGGTTGTTATTTGGGTTTTCTTGGTGTTCTTAGTTTCTTGGCCTGCCCGCCAGGCCGCCGTCGAAAGCCTGTGGTCCCTCGGGAGGCCGCGGGGAGGCCAGGAAACAAAGAAAACGGAAAAAAACAAGACAACGCGCCAGCCAATCAAGAAAACCAAGATAACACATGGTGTCTTTTGGTTTTCTTGGTTCGAGTGGCTGTTTGTTTGGTTTCCGTTGTGTTTTCGTGGTTGTCTTGTTTTGTTTGGTTTCATGGCTTGCCCGCCAGGCCGCCGCTGCGGGGAGGCCAGGAAACTCAGAAAACCAAGAAAACACAAAGAAAGACCAAGAAAACGCGCCAGCCAAACAATAGAGGAGAATTGGGCAAAGAGCGGTTCTCTTTCACGAATAAGGATGGTCTTGGGCAAACCACCGCGGCTGTGGGAAACATTGTTGTGTGTAATGGTTTGGGCCACTTCTTTTGTATAGTTTTGCTGCGGTGCGGTAGTGCCTTTTATTTGCATGGCAATATCCACGTATTGTGTACGCTCTACGTTTGTTCCTCTCTCATGTTATCATGCTCGCGACGCTCGAGCACTTCCGAACCCAGAGTTGCGAGGATGTCCCAGGAGTTGGGAGGATGTCTCAGGGGACCACCTCGCAAGCAGGATCTTCGAGCCTGCAGTTGGGAGGATGTCTCAGGCGCAACTGGCCAGACCTCCTCTCGCGAGCATTTTTGAGCCCTTGCGAGAACGTGCAGAGCGAAATTGGCTGGACCACCTCAGGTTAGAGCGCCTCGGAGCATAGATTGGCGAGGATGTGTGAAGCGACGAGCCAAGAGTTTCAAGGATGTCGCAGGCGAGACGAGCCGGACCACCTCAGGTCACAGCATGTCTGAGTCCAGAGGCGCGAAGATGTCTATGGCGAAACGTGTTGGATCATAGCCCAGAGTCGGGAGGATGTCTCAGGCGAAGTTGTCCAGACCACTTCGCGCGCAGCATCTTCGAGCCCAGAGTTGGGAGGATGTCTCAGGTGAAATTGGTCGGACCACCTCTCGCGCAGCATCTCTGATCCCAAATTTCTGAAGACGTCTGAGGCGAAACCGGCCGGACCACCTGTTACGCGGGATTTCGGAGTCCAGAGTTGCCAGGATATCTCAGACAAAATTGGCACGACCACGTCAGGACAGGGCATCTCTGAGCCCAGGGCTGCGAGGATGTCTCAGGCGAGACGGGCAGGACCACCTGAGGTCGCGGCATCTCTGAGGCCAGAGTTGCAAGGAAGTCTCACTCGAAATGGGCCAAACCTCGTCAGGTCAGGGCATCTCTGAACCCAGAATTGCAAGGATGTCTCCGGCGAAACGGGCCAGACCAAATCAGGTCACGGCATCTGGGAGCTTAGATTTGCAAGGACGCGTCAGGCGAAAGGGCCGGACCATCTCTCGCGCGGCATTTGGGAGTTCAGAGTTGCGAGGACGTCTCAGGCGAAAGGGGTTGGACCACTTCAGTTCTCGGCATAGGATCCCAGAGTTACGAGGATGTTTTATGCGAAACGGGTTGGACATCCTCAGGTAGAGGTATTGGGGAGCTCAGAATTGCGAGGATGTCTGATGCGAAAGGGGTCGGGTAATCTCTCGTGCGGCATCCGTGAGCCCCAAGATGCCACGCAACAGGTGGTCCTGCCAGTTTAGTCTGAGACATCTTCGCAACTCTTGGCTTGGGGCCATTTTCGCCTGAGCCATCATCGCAACTCTGGGCTCAGACATGTCCTGACCTTTGCTGGTCTTCGATTCGCCCGAGACAGCCTTGCAACTCAGGGCTCTCCGTTGTTTTTGGTGCTGCTTCTTTTTTGGCAGACGTCGAAGGAATCTGTGCATCCCCCCTGTAACCTGACGAGCGGTTGTGACGGCGCAGTTCTGGGACAGCAGGGCCCGATCCGATCCGATCGACCCGATTCGATTGTCACGCTGGGCACATCCCGATCCGATCGATCCGATCCCATCTCGACTTCGGCCAGCCCGATCCGATTCGATTGCAGGGCTCACGTCGATCCAGCCGATCCGATTCGATATCGGCTTCGGCCGGCCCGATCCGATGCGACTGCAGGGTACATATTTTTGTTCCGATCCCACCGAACCGATTCGACATCGGCTCTGGCCGGCCCGATCCCCTTCGGCTCGGAGGTTCGTTCGATGCGATTCTCCCCTTGGCATCGCTCGGACGTGTGCATTTTTCTTTCGGCGAGGACCATCGAGGAGCATCCTTGATCATTTGGCGAAAAAGCGACGCATAAAACCGAACAAAACACAGGGAATGGACGTCCGAGCGATGGCCAGTCCCCGACGCCTCCACGGCGCTGGCGTGCGTGTCCTGGCGCGGCCGCTCCGGGGAGAGGCCTTGCTCCGTGCCGGTGCGGCCCTTGTGCGACGTGCATGCCGACTCGGTCCGGTCTTCCAGTGCGATGTCTGACGGGTTCGTTTTCCACCACCATCACCACCATGAGGAGGAGGAGGAGGAGGAGGAGGAGGAGAGGAGAGGAGGAGAGGAGGAGGAGGAGGAGGAGGAGGAGGAGGAGGAGGAAGAGGGGGGGGGAGGGAGGGAGGGAGGGAGGGAGGGGGGAGGGAGGGAGGGAGGGAGGGAGGGAGGGAGGGGGGAGGGAGGGAGGGAGGGAGGGAGGGAGGGAGAGACAGGGAGGGAGGGTGGAGAGAGAGGGAGGGAGGGAAGGAAGGAGGGGGGAGGGAGGGAGAGAGGGAGGGAGGGGGGGGGGAGGGCGGAGGGAGGGGGGGGAGGGAGGGAAGGAGGGAGGAGGGAGGGAGGGAGGAAGGAAGGAAGAAAGGAAGAGGAGGAGGAGGTGTGGGAGGGGGTGGGGGAGGGGGCGGGGGAGGAGAGAGGAGGAGGAGGAGGAGGAGGAGGAGGAGGAGGAGCCTCCTCCTCCTCCTCCTCCTCCTCCTCCTCCTCCTCCTCCGCCTCCTTCCCCCCTCCAACTTACGGTGGTGGTGGGAAACATGCCCATCAGTGTTGGCTGATCCTGGCAGATCGGCTGGCCCGCATGTCTGACCGAAGACGAAGGCGGAAGGGAAGGATAGCATTGAGTCGGATACGTCCCTCTACAGGAGGAATATTCAAAAATGATCTGGGAACATGTTTTGACTATCTTTGAGCATTCTGGATCATTTCGTGATTATTTTTGTTCGTCCAACATCCGCCTGTATGGGGACATGCCCGACCTAGGGATAGCACGTTCGATTAGTTTGTGCTTCGGGGGTGGAACGGCAGCATTTCAAATCTACAGGTGTACGTGCAGGGATATCGCATGCCATCGACACCTTAGCAGTCCAGGTCAGAGTGTCCGAGATGGGCTGTTGTGCTTCAGTCTGCCCCAGGGGATATACGCAGCAGTAGCAGCAAGAGCGAGCATCAGCTGCGCTCGCACTTCCGCGGGATCCCGTCAGGCAAGACACGCCATATTGGCATGGCGGCTCGAGAGGCGGCAGAGTTTTCTATACTTGTTTACGTGGAGAGGGTTGCGGATTGAGTCGAAGCGGGAGCGGGAGAGGCAGATGCGGCATAAGTTTGAGTAGATGTGCAAGCGTGGTGTGGTATGCACAATCAGCCTTACGACGGAGGATCTGATATGTTACGAATGCAGAAGCACAAATGGCTTGACAAGTCTGGAGATAACCATCGTGGGTCTACGTGGCTAAGGGCATTCGCTCATCCATTGGGCCCCTTTCTGCCCCTCTGGGGAGGGGCTTACCCCTTCTCCCACGCCGCAAGACTTCTTTCTCCCTGAGGAGCGGAGGCCTCTTGGGGTCCTGGTTCACTGCTGGGATCGGCAGGAGGCCTCTCTCGAGGCACCCTGTCTTCCGGCAGGGCCTCCGGGGCCGTCGTGGGCCTTCCTGGGCCCGTCTTGGGGCTCATTTCGGGCCTTCTTGAGGTCGCCTTGAGCTCTCAAGGGCCCTACTGGGGGGCGAACAGGCGAGAAGGCCAACATCATTGACCTGCTCGTCCTATTCGCAAGGTGTTGGCCGTCTTAAGGCCATCTTGCCAATTTGGAGGCTGCCTAGGCGTATCTTGTCAGGCCTTGACTCGTATTGCCGTGTCTCGTCTTGTCTTCTATTGTCGGACCGAGGTATAAGGTCGAGGTCGGCTCGGTGAGGATACCCGAATGGTCTTCGTGTTTGTTGGATGTTCTTGTGAATCCTCGGGAGGGTACCCTTGGATGTTCTGTGTGTTGGCCCGTGGAGGGTCTCATGTTTTTGCTGGATGTTTTTCTGTCCTAGGTCAGGCCGTATGGTCCTGTCTTGTCTTCTGTGGCCGTCGCGGGCCGTCTTGGGGGCGTCTGGGGGCCGTCCTGGAGGCCGTGGCACGCCGGTGTCGGGCCGTTCGCTGGCCAGAGGGGCCCGCCTGCTCTCTTAGAGGAAGTCTCTCCCCCAGGGTCTGGACGGAGGGGTCGCGGGGTGGGGAAGGGATGGGTACCCAGAGATCCATGGCATTGAGGAAGTCAAGACGGATGTCTTTCTCCCTTCTCGGCTTCCAGAGGCCCTCGCCGGGCCCGGGGGCCGTCACAGAATGACGCAGGATGATAAACCGGCCCTAGGGACAGGGTCGGGACTTCGGGGAGCCCGTATTGAAAAAAACACGGCATCCGATCTTTGGGTAGCCAAAGATGGTTTCCAAATCGCGCAAGGTGGCCCCACTTGGATAAATGGGGGGCAGTGTTACGGGGTGATAGGTTCAGCAGTGGGGGATGCATCGACCCCCAATCGCACAGTCATCGCCGACAGGGGCCCGATAGCCCACCTCGCCAGGAAATGTGCGGATAGGGGGGCCCCGCAGCAGTAAAGAAAGTACCGAAATTGCCAAACAGGCCGCACGAGGGTGATTAAGCACAGGGGCGTGTGCAGCAGCGCTTCCTGTTTTCGTCCGAACAGGTCAGAGGAAGGGAGTGGAGGACAGACAGACACTTTCGGGGGCATATAGTCACTTCGTCAGTGCCAGTGACAGATTGCCCTAGGACCGACATAATCTAGTATTAGTTGCCACGAGTTTCGGGCCTCCAGTCCGCCCGCAACGAACGAAGATTCAAATCCCCAACTTTCGAACCGAAGCACTAGCTTCCAAGCCCCAGAAGACGCCCAGAGGACCCAGGCAGGCTCTTGCCAAAACGCAATTCCGAAACAAGCGGACGGCACTATGCTGACTTCGCGCATGCCTGCTGGGAGGGGAAAACACGGGCACACGCTTGTTGGGAGTTGTGTCTATTTCAGTGAGTCTGTGTCTGTGTGTCCTTGGAGACCTTTGGCTTGCTGGGCGGAGGGAAGGAGCGACGAGCAGGGCGGGCCACGGAGAAGGAGGGATCGCCCCTGGGCGGCAGCAGGCAGGCGGGCCTCAGGGGCTGGATCCCCAGGATCGCACGACCTCGAAGCCGACGCAATGTCACATCCCATGCTCTCTGCACCAGTTGCCGTGGTCGTTGTCAGCACCCCCATGCCGTCAGATATTGCGTCCCAATTTCCGCATGCAACTTCGCTGCAGGCCAAAGTTCTCGTGGTCTCCGTATTCATCCCACCTGCATTGTCAGGTAGGCTTCCCATATCCTCAGAACTAGCTTGCATATCCGTCAGATCAGGATTGTTAGGCATTGGCAATTCTAGCATACCGAGATCAAACTTGACAGGCATGCGCAACTCTAGCATATCATATAGGGATGAGAGGAGGAGGGCGAGGAGGGGGAAGAGGAGCAGGAGGAGGAGGAGGAGGAGGAGGAGGAGGACGACAGGTAGAGTTGCGTCGGAAGGTGATCCAGTGATTCCTCCTCCTGGGCGCCTCTTGCGCTGAACCTCCACCGGGTTAACCCCGGACGTTCCCGTCAGCCGATGGCGACGGTGTTGTGGTCCGCTGACCCCCGAGCCCATTCCACGTGCCCGCACCGACTCCCAGCGGCCGGGCCCGTGTGGGATGCCGAGGGTAAGGAAGCACATCGAGAGCAAGAACGATTGTGGAGCAGGAGGAGGAGAAGCAGGAGCAGGAGGAGGAGGAGGAGGAGGAGCACTCGGCGGCAGAAGGCACGAAGTCAGCACTGCAGAATGCCAGCCAAGACGAGGCAGCCAGGAGATGGGGCCCCGCAGGCCGTACCTTATCTATTGCACCGTGTGCGCCGGGGTGCAGGCGTGGCTGCTGGCTTGGAATCTGATCAAAGGAGTGCGAACCCTAGTGTTGGCTTGCCGTGCCTGGATGGAGGCCATGACAGTGTGGATGTGATGCTCTGTTCTGGCGGTGGGTGCATGATCCTTGAGTCCTTGGCATCCGAACGGATGGACTCGGTGGCTGGCATGCGCCAGCAGATCTTCCACAGCGAACAGGAGTAACATTGTTGCATGTGCCCGCATCCCTCGGGCTCACCAGGTGGTGCCTGATACCACTCCATGTCTTCCCCCTGCAGTCGTGACAGTGCACTACATTCACCGCATATCGTCATCATCATCTGCCGCTCCGTACCCTTTCCTTCCTCGCCGCCCAGTCTTCGGGTAATTGTCCGTTCTGCCAGTTCACCAGACTTGATAAGAGGCGAAACGTTGTCACCTGTAGTTCCACAAGTGTCGTGTATAATGGCGCAGTCTGCGAGTCGAAAGACGTGGCCTCCACCGCCATGGCGCAAGTTCTTGGTAGTTGAGTGAATGATTGATGTCTGTCTGAATCAATATCATGCACGGAGCGGAGTTGCAATACATCTGCATGGGGAACGGAATTTGGAGCCCACAGGCCAGGACCTCCAACCCTCAGTCTGGGCCCACCCCACTCTGAGACCTCCCGGGCCACTGCCTCCCCGCCCTGGCCGCTCAAGACAGCCCGTGGGATCCGCTTGTGGGTGCCAGGGGGCCCGAAGAGGACCCCAATACGGACCATGAGCCCCCCTTACAGGACCCTCAGGACTGCCCGAGGAGAACCTACGAGCCGAGGGGTACCTCATCCCTCCTCCCCTCCTCCCTGCGACCCGAAGGCACGAGGAGGAGGGAGGGAGGGAGGGAGGGGGGGGAGGAGAGGGAGGAGGAGGAGGAGGAGGAGCAGCAGCAGGAGGAGCAGGAGCGAGGGAGGGAGGGAGGGAGGGAGGGAGGGAGGGAGGGAGGAGGAGGCCCTTTCCTGTCCCTGTCCCTCGCCCCCTCCCTCCTCCCCATGTCTGTTTTCCGAGGGCGGGCCCTCGGGGCACGCGCCGCGCCCAAGAAAAGAGGCGGCGACGGCACGGACAACTCAGTGAGCGGGCTCTCTTGGCCGGGCTCTGGCCTCCCGTCTGGTGTACAGTCAAAAACCAACTGAGGACGCGAGACTCTGCTCGGGGTACCCTTGCGTCCTTGCTCTTCCTTGCTCTCGCGTCTCCGTCCTTCCTCGGTTTCGTCCTGGGGTTTTCGTCGTCCGCCGCCCCAAAAATCCCAACTTCGGCTTCCAAGGGTCCTGCGTCCTTGCCGCGCGTCCTTATCAGGGTTTCTGACTGTCGTGAGCGGGCTCTCTTGGCCAGATTCTGGCCTCCCGCTGGTGTATGCCTCCCTTCCTTCCTCCCCCCCCTCCTTTCTTCCCTCGTCCCAGGGGCAACGATGGGTGGGGATGGGCCTGGGGGCGGGCGCATCGATCCCCAATCGCCCACTGATCGCCGATGGGGGCCCGACAGCCCCGCCCCGCCCCGCCCCGGAAGGTGCGGATTCGCTATCGGCGATATATCGCCGGCTCCAGGTCGATGCATCCCCCCCTACAGTAGGGGTCTTGAAGAAGGAACCCTTTTCGTTGGGGAGGGACTCCGTGTTCCTTGGTTGTTTCACGGCTCGCCTTAGGTTTCCCCCAGGTTTTCGATGGGGAATCAAGTTTAACTTCTGGAGAAAAGGGGCCTCGTTCCTTATTTAGGGTTCATTAGGTCAAGGCCCCGACTGTATGCCAGTCCCCCCTTGTCGTTGCCCCTCCCGAGGAGCCCCAAATCGGCCCCAAAAATGCTTCGAACCTGCTTCCAGGAGGCCCCCGACAGGTTCAGAGGCTCCCGAGAAGCTACGTCAAACTCCCATGCATGCATGCATGTATGCATGCATGCATGCATGCATGCGTCAATGCGTGCATGTATGTGTGTATGTATGTATGTATGTATGCATGCATGCATGCATGCATGCATGCATGTATGTATGTATGTGTGTATGTGTGTATTTATGCATGTATGCAGGTATGCAGGTATGCAGGTATGCATGTATGCATGTATGCATGTATGCATGTATGCATGTATGTAGGTATGTACGTATGTATATATGTATGCATGTAGGTAGGTAGGTACGTAGGTACGTAGGTACGTATGTATGCATGCATGCATGCATGCATGCATGCATGCATGCATATGTATGTATGTATGTATGTATGTATGTATGTATGTATGTATGTATGTATGTATGTATGTATGTATGTATGTATGTATATATACATATATGGGAGATCCCGGGCCCCGGGCCCCGGGCCGGAACCTCCCTTGTATATAGGGTGCGGCCCTCTCCCGGGGCGCCCTTCCGGCGGCCCCCGCGCGTTCCAGCCCGCCCAAGAGGGCTCCAGGAGCGCCGAGAGAACCCCAGGATCGCTTCAAGACCGCCAAAGATCGCTTCCAGAAGGGTCAAGAGGCGCTCAAACCGCCCCAAGAGGCCTTCAAGAGGCCCCCCACGAGCGCCCCGGGAGACCAAAATAGCCCCATTCCCTTCGTAAAACGTACATTTTTACGATATCAGCTCCCTTAGCTGTCGGAGCGGCCAGAAAGCCCCACGAGGCGCCCAAGGACGCTCCAGGACGACTGAGGACAGCCCCAAGACGGCCCAGGAGGGCCTCCCGGGACGCTCCTCCGGCGGCCCCCGGGCTGCCCAGTCCGCCCAAGAAGGCTCCAAGAGCGCCGAGAGAACCCCAGGATCGCTTCAAGACCGCAAAAGATCGCTTCCAGAAGGGCCAAGAGGCCATCAAACCGCCCCAAGAGGCCTCCAAGAGGCCCCCCAAGAGCGCCCCGGGAGACCAAAATGGCCCCATTCCCTTCGTAAAACGTACATTTTTAGGATATCAGCTCCCTTGGCTGTCGGAGCGGTCCGAAAGCCCCACGAGGCGCCCTATAGGATAGCCCGAAGACAGCCCAGGAAGGCCTCCCGGGACGCTCCTCGGGCGGCCCCCGGGCCTCCCAGTCCGCCAAAGAAGGCTCCAAGAGCGCCGAGAGAAGCCCAGGATCGCTTCAAGACCGCCAAAGATCGCTTCCAGAAGGGACAAGAGGCCATCAAACCGCCCCAAGAGGCCTCCAAGAGGCCCCCCAAGAGCGCCCCGGGAAACCAAAATGGCCCCATTCCCTTCGTAAAACGTACATTTTTAGGATATCTCATCCCTTGGCTGTCCGAGTTGTCAGACAGCCCCAGGAGGCGCCCAAGGACGCCCCAGGACGCCTGAGGACAGCGCTAAGAGGGCCTAGGAGGGCTTCCTGGGACGCTCCTCGGGCGGCCCCCGGGCCTCCCAGTCCGCCCAAGATGGCCCAAGAGACTTCCCGGTCGCCCCGAGAGGGCCCCCGGAGCGCTCCGATACGGCCCAACATGGCCTCCAGAAGGGCCACGAGGCCGTCAAGACGCCCCAAGAAGGCTCCAAGAGGCCTTCCAAAAGGGCCCCGGAATCGCCACGGAATCGGACCCGTGCTTGCGAACACCGTTTTCGGAGCAAACTAGAACCTAAGCGCGCGCGAAGCGCGCGCGTGGTTTATATATATATATATATATATATATATATATATATATATATTATATATATATATATATATATATACCGGGCTACAGGGCCGGGGGCTCCCTGGCCTGGACCGCAACCCCCCATGGCGGGATCGGGCCTCCTGGAGCGCCCTTGTCCGGCCCAAGAGGCGCCGAAGACGGTCCAAGCGTGCCTCGAGACGCTTATGATCGATCCAAGACGCCCAAGATGGCTCCCAGACGGCCCAAGAGGCCTCCAAAATGTCCCAAGAGAGCCCCAAGAGCATTCCCAAGAGGGCTGCAATAGGCCGAAATCATGGAATTCCGTTGTTTTGCAGGTTTTGTTTTTTTTGTTTTTTTGTTTTTTCGTCGCCCCGACCCTCCACGACAGCCCACGAAGTCCCCAAGAGCGGCCCAAGATCGCCCAAGAGGTCCCCAAGAGCGCCCCAAGACTGCCCAAGAGGGCTTAAAAACAACCCGATAGGCGCTTAAGACCGCCCGAGAGCTTGCAAACACGGCCCAAGAGGCGTCGAAGACAGTCAAAGCGTGCCACGACGCGCCTAAGACCGCTCCAAGACGCCCAAGATGGCTCCCAGATGGCCCAAGAGGCCTCCAAGACGTCCCAAGAGAGCCCCAAGAGCATTCCCAAGAGGGCTGCAAGAGGCCGAAATCATTGAATTCCGTTGGTTTTTTGCAGGTTTTCGGTTTTCTTGTTTTTGTCGTCGTCCCGACCCTCCAAGACAGCCCACGAAGTCCTCAAGACCGTCCCAAGATCGCCCAAGAGGCCCCCAAGAGCGCCCCAAGACGGCCCAAGAGGGCCTAAAAACAACCCAGTAGGCGCTTAAGACCGCCCAAGAGCTTGCAAACACGGCCCAAGAGGCGTCGAAGACAGTCAAAGCGTGCCACGACGCGCCTAAGACCGCTCCAAGACGCCCAAGATGGCTCCCAGATGGCCCAAGAGGCCTCCAAGACGTCCCAAGAGAGCCCCAAGAGCATTCCCAAGAGGGCTGCAAGAGGCCGAAATCATTGAATTCCGTTGGTTTTTTGCAGGTTTTCGGTTTTCTTGTTTTTGTCGTCGTCCCGACCCTCCAAGACAGCCCACGAAGTCCTCAAGACCGTCCCAAGATCGCCCAAGAGGCCCCCAAGAGCGCCCCAAGACGGCCCAAGAGGGCCTAAAAACAACCCAGTAGGCGCTTAAGACCGCCCGAGAGCTTGCAAACACGGCCCAAAAGGCGTCGAAGACGGTCAAAGAGTGCCACGACGCACCTAAGACCGCTCCAAGACGCCCAAGATGGCTCCCAGATGGCCCAAGAGGCCTCCAAGACGTCCCAAGAGAGCCCCAAGAGCATTCCGAAGAGGGCTGCAAGAGGCCGAAATCATTGAAGTCCGTTGGTTTTTTGCAGGCTGTTGGTTTTCTTGTTTTTTCGTTGTCCCGACCCTCCAAGACAGACCACGAAGTCCCCAAGACCGCCC